TGTTATAGACCAGCAGATATCTATATAGATAGGGCTTGTTATTACAAACATTAGATTAAACAAATATCAATATCCAATTTAAGAAAAGATATAATACATATATAGCTAATATCAAATGATATTGTTGTTTTAAAAAGTTCTAGTAAAGCAAAGCTCTATAAATTAATAAAAACAAACAAATCAAAAATACTATTTGCATATATTTAAATCACTAATAAATATAGGTATAACTTACTTTATACTCTTCTATATCACTGTGAACTTCAATTAATAAAAGAGGTTTGGGCAGTAGTAAAGCAAGAAGTTGCTAAAACTGAATTGTATCCAAATCTTCTCTCTATTAGAAACAAATTATTAGAAGTGTTTAATAAAAAAGTAAGTGTTAAAACTATTACTTATTTTTAGAAAAAATCACTTACCAGAGCAAAGAAATATAGAGATTAGGATGACAATATTGTTTTAGTTGAAAGTGATATCGAAGATTTTAAAATTGAGAAAATTATTTTCTAATAAAAATTTTTTTTTCAAATAAAAACTTAATAAAGTTATATTAAAATAAATGCAAAAAGTAAAATAATAAATTAAAAAAAAAATAATAATAATTCAGATAAAAGCGTATATTGAAAAAACTCTTTCTGCTAATCATCAAAACACAAATTTTCAGAAAAACAAATTATCAAAAAACTACAAAAATATACAAAAGTCTTTAGAAAACCAAACTTGAAGCTCTAAAGAAAAAGGAAAAGAACAACAAGAAATACTTAGTCTCTTAGAGACTTGAGTTAAAAGAAACAGAAGTGACAAAGAAATAGAAGAAGTCATAAAATATTGTTGATATTTTTTTGCACTTTGCAAAAATTTGGGAAATCGGCCTTGATCCTGAATTGCAAATCTGTTTTGGTAATACAAGAACCACATCACGTAATAGAAAATAAACAAAGAAAATATGACAAAAACTATGTGACAAATACAAACAAAATCAACAAACAAATATAACAATCAACAACCACAAACAACAATGATAGAAAAACAACAAGTCATGTGAATATACCAATAATAGAAAATTCTGAAACACATAGATGGAGGCCAAAAGAAGATGAAGCAATAGCAAAAATATATGATAATAGGACTGAAGAATATAATATAAAGTATATCACAGAACAACTTAAAGCAAAATTTGCTGAAACAAAATTAATTATAAAAGAAGAAGCAAGAGTACAAATAAGAACACTTCACAAAGAACGACGGCAATATAACAAAGATATTAGTCAGTATACAGGACTTGAACTTAAAACAAGAGACAAGGTTGGTTTTTTAGAAGCAATAAAAAAAGGAGAAGACCTAGTTAATATATCATACATAGAGAAATAAAAAATATTTTAACAGAATTAAGAATAGCTAATGCGATAAGAGAAGTAGAAGAAATTGAAAAGAAACAGGTTGCCAAAATTAAAGAGTTGGAAAAGAAACAAGTTGCCAAAATAAAGTCAAAAATTGAAACTGGTTGAAGCAAGAGACTTGAAGAGCAAAAAAGAAATTGACAAAAATGGTATAACAAGATAGTTCTAAACTCATTAGTACAACAATTTAATCAATCAGTCCAATCTGTTGCAGAAAACTAATACAAAGAAAAAGAAAGAGTCAAAGAGAAAAAGATACAATTGCAAGCTCGAAAAAAAGCCAAAATAGCAAAAAGAATTATGTACAATAAAGAAAAACAAGCTGCTAATAGTATAAAAACAAAAATAGAACTAGCTTAACACAAGAGACTAGATAAACAGAGAAAAAAAAACAAAAGCAGCAAAACAAAACAGCACTCAAGTTATTATTACAGCACTTCTTAGTAATCATCAGAGCATTCAAAATAGAATATTCTTAGAAAAAGAAACAATTAAAATAGAAGAATAGTGATCACTATTCTAGCAAAAAGAAGTCTCTAAGCATTGTCAACAAACAACTAATAAAGAAAAAGAAATATCAGAGCAAAAAATCAAGAATCAAAATAAAGAAAGCCAAGTAGAAAGAAAAGCTTTAAATAAGATTACAGAAGAATTAAGACCAAGAGTGTCAAGAACAGTTATGGTAGAAGAAGAAAAGTTAGAAGATATACAAGCTAAGAATATACAGAGGGATATAATAAACTAAGCAATAGAAGCATTATACTTGTCAAGTGGAAGAGATGTCTAAATCAATAGTAAAAATTAGAAAAAGAAGAAAAAAGATCTATTAGCAGATTGGATTCAATAGACTAAATCTTACACAACTAAGAGCACAGTTAGAAAAGACAGAATCCAAGTTATTACAATAAAAAGAATAACAAAAGTTATGAATCAAAAAAAGAAAAAGAAGGATATACTATTAGATATAGCAGAAGGGATATTATTAGAAGTATTAGAAGATCAAGAAGCCTATATCAAATTACAAGAGAAGTTCTTTAAAAAGAAGCTGCATTCAAAAAGAAGAAGAAAAAAAAATACTCAGGTTGGTAAAAGAAAGAAAAAAAAGAAAAGAAATCTCGAGCGAAGTGAACTTGTGACGACCACTAGAAAACTAGAAGAAGCTCTAAAGAATACTAAAAAAAAGAAGACCTTTGTTAAAACCTCAGAACAGAAGAAATAATTTAAGAATAAAACTCCAGAATATAAGAGAAAAGGCAAAGAGAAGAACTTGAAAAGACTTCAAAGAGCTGGGTCTCTAATCAGAAAGAACCAAATGAATTAGAAAAATGAAAATAGAAATGAAGATACAAGAATATTCGAAAGAATATCAGCATTAACCCTTCAGAAGATAAAAATACAGATTTGGTTATTAATAGAAAAATACTGTAGAATTGGATTATTGTTATAAAAAGGAAAATAAATTAGAAGAGAAAAATTGCCAACTTAGTATAGATAAAATTTCTTTTAATTTGAGACTATTTTATTATAGTTTCACTGGCTAGCTTGGTACAGCCCTCTGGTATAGGCAATTGCCTTAACCAGTAAAGCAGACCATACTTGAACATCCTTAAAGGAAGCTGAGTGATATCAGATCTGTAACTTAAATAGTTTAGGATATAATTATATCTACTTTGATCTAATAAAGATACCAGCAAGACTGCCAATATATTAAAAAAAAAAATAAATAAATAAATTAAAAAATTCATATACTTATATTAAATTTTAAAGAAAAAATTTATCATCATTATTTGGTGTATCAACTTTTTTGCACTAGCTAATACTTTATATTAATATTTGTTTAATAAAAAAATTTTAAATAAAAGATTTAATTATTTTGTATAGATGCATTATAATATACTCTATAAGATCAAATTTAAGGAGATATCTATAAATAATGTTATATACCTTAACATAGAACCTTATGACCCCCCTAGATTATATAAAAAAAAATTTGTCCCGGCAGATCCTCGATTTTGACTGGCTAACGGTCGTGAATTTGCAAAATTTTGGTCTGCATTACATGAAATTTTAATCTTTTCATTCCAAAAATAGAAAATTTCAAGAAAATAGGCTCGCTACTCAAAAAAGTTTCGAACAAATATATCGAGCACCAAAAATTTATGTAACTTGAACAAAAAAATACAAATAACAAATTTAGACTAACAAAATAATAACGATTTTATTTATTTCAAATTTATTATAGCCAGAAAGTATTATGATTATGGGTTACTAAGTATTCAGAATATTCTGTTGCCTTTTAACCCTCCAAATTATACAATAGTTCAAAGTTTTATTAATGCTATCAAGCAATTTGTTATTATTTGGATTCATTATATTTTCTTCAATAATTTTTTGTTGCTGCGTCCTACATTCAGAATTATAAAAACTTTTTGCTCAATAAAATCAGAATTATAATCTTTCGGAAAAGTATTAAAAATAAAATCTACAAGGTTTTCTGGTACAACTGCATTTTTTTATTAGTTTTTTTATAACTTTATTTCGATTTTTATTCTTTTTTTGCTTATTATTGGAAATTTTTGGTTACTGTTATGGCAATCAATTTATATTTTTAGAATAGTGTGTTTATTAGATTTTATGCTTAACGATCACTTTTCATTTTGAAAAATCGAAAAAAAAAATCATTGAATTAATTTTGACAATATCACATGAATTTTGGATAGTAATTTTATTCTGGTCGGCAGAATTGGAATCTTAAAATATTAGGCAATTGGTTGTAGTAGTAAAAGGATGCTTATGAAAAAAATCATATACTTAGCTTAAAGATAAAGCGAAGCAATTGAGTTTACCTATGTAAACATTGATTGGTAAATCTAAAAGAAGAAATTCATTAATTAAGCAGTACGTACAAGTCAATTACAGGATTATACATAAAAAGTATGTAATCAATTACTCTTTTCTCATAATAACCTAATCAACAGTAAATAAAATACTTGCCTTTATGCGTGCGTCTGGTATCGCTGTAGACATTGATTTAGTATCTACTGATTTAATGCCGAAAGCCATTAATTAAACCATAAAGTTATCTTTTACACAAACTATTCATATATTTTTTTGTGCTCACAAAATGAAAAACTACATTATACTACTAAGAATTGGTTTATTTTCTTTTTATATTGTTCTGACCCGCTTTAAATATTTATCAAGGTTTTTTTTTTTTTTTTTTAAATGATAGCTTTTGCAATACATGAATATTTTCACTATATATTGTATAATCAACAATTGAAATAATAAGTAGAACAAAAATTCATTTAGATTAAAAAATGTTAAAGCCGTATTTTAAAGTTAAACTTAGTAATGTAACAATGATTCACAACTTTATTAAATCAAAAAAAAAGAAAAAAAGGCAAAAACAAAATAAAAAATATATATGTTGTGTAAATAGAAATAGAATTTAAGTAGATTTAGAATTTTTATATAAAACCAATATTTTGGGATTGATTTTATCATTAATATTTCCTAACCCTAACCCAATTTGATTAAAAAATTCTAAATCCAATTCCCACTTATGATATATATAATATAAAAAAAAGTAAAACACCGTTAATATAAGACTTTACTCATTATTTGTCCAATTAGGTTTCCAAGTCTCCAGTTAATAATATATACTTGATGATTTCGAATTGTACGAATGTTTTTTGCTTTCTGAAATAATAATTGCAATGCATCCTCAGATATTGTATCTTCTTCTATCCACATAGCTTCATCTTCATTGCTAACTAAAAATTCACCATGCTGGTAGTTGTGAATGACTACAATAGAGTACACTAAATGATCAGTATCTTGAAAACCTTGAATGTTTGTAAGTAGGATAACTTATTTGAACACTTTCGAATATGATGTTTTAAGGATCCTTTTAAGCCGAAGAGTTGATGCCAGG